AGGTCCATCTATTCTAACCTACAAGGAGTCATGCAGTGCCACAGCAGCAGAGCAGTGCTCAACTCACAAACAAACCAGTGCCATGCCCATGTAAATTTTTTTTTAAAAAGACAAAAAAAAACCCTCAACCGTTCTTCTTGTCGAGTCGCAGTCAGCTACATGTACGGCGCGCAACACCGTGCCAGAAATAGATTAATTAGGACAATCGGAACATCGAAGCCAAACGGAAAGAGCAAAACTATCCCACCGGCAGCACACACACCGGCCAGCCACATACGTCATGCCCACACACCAAAACAAAGTCATGAGATTCGAGGAATGGCAAACAAGAGTTTTGAGTAAAGAGAAGCACATCGACACAACAATAACGGTCATATACTAGCGCAGGGGAGACGCAAATGACAGTTTAGTTTTAGTAAGTGTTTTGCGCACGGCACTTGCAATGATATAAAATGAAAGATAGACAGAAACAACAGAGGGCAAGAAAAAAAGTGGGACCTACAAGTGGTGCCCTCCAACCACCCGCTAAAACAAGAGTCGCTAGGTTCTGTATACGAGGCCTTACAAAAGTGATGGAGAGATCAAGAATGATTGAAAGTTTTCAATTTCTAAAAGTTTCAGCATAAAATCCTCAGCATCTGATTCGACCTCAAAACACCAGCATCGTCTTGGACACAGGAGTCAGGAACTCATAATATTTTCCTTTTATAAGAAATACTCATATCTCTTCTCTCAACCACGTTGTTAACCGTAAGATATTCTAATACTATTTCACTTTCAGAAATCTTCACATCACCTCTCATCAACAGCTGTTAACCGTAAGATATTTTTATATTATTTCACTTTAAGAAATCCTTGCACCCCCTATCAACAACTGTTAACTGTGAGAAATGTTAAGACTTTACTTTTAAAGAATCTAAACACAATATTTCATCTGCCGCACAACCTGGACAAACGTGTGTCACAGCAACCGGAGCACCCAGTGTCCAGAATTTTATATTAAAAAAAAAATATCCAGAATTTTATATTAACTACAAGAGTGTCCACAATTTTATAAAGGCTAGAAGGTCAAGAAGTCTGACCACTTGAATGTTTCAAATTTTATGTAACCACCAGAGTGTCCATTATTTCATATTTTTAAACAACAGTATACAGAATTTTTTATTCAACAAGTGTCCATAATTTTACATCTAAACGCTAGAATTTAACAATGTTCAGAATTTTATATTGATTTAACCTCATGAAGGTCCAGAATTTTATGTTTATAACCACAAGAGTATCCAAAATGTAATATTTAATCGCAAAGATATTCGGAATTTCCTATTTAACCAAAAGAATGTTCAGAAATATAATAATAAGCAAAAATAGATCATTGTGCAAATTTCGATGGTACTGACAAACCATCGACAGACGACTTTTATAGGCCCCTAAAAACTTGGCAGAGTTGTTAATTTAATTTCTAGACCTTTCACCACGCGTTTCTTGGCTGACATCTAGACCTTCTAATTTCCCAAATTTATATCAAGAATACAGCCCTACAATCAGTGACATAAACAGACCATATGTTTCGGTAGGAACACGCCCCCCCCCCCCCCTTTCACCCTAATTCTTGAATATGCCAAGTTTCCAAGTGAAAAACAGCCATGAAAAACCTCCATAAATTCATGAATATAAGCTACCATGATATTGTATGTACAGATACAGCAGTTACTAAAAAAAAAGAATACTAATTCTGTGACATAACAATACCCTCAGCATTTTTTTTTACACCTAAGCAAAAATATTTCTACAATTTCAAGCTTAAGGTACTTACAACTAATGCCTAAGAATTGTAACTTTTTGTTTACAAAGACCTACATTATAATGCAATTTAAAGAAAACAATTGACCAAAATGTCTCAGTAATAGAGACAGGATTAGATCTTAGAGAGAAAAAGGTCGCTCCACCAAAGTATTACGGTGTGGTCGGAAAACAGAATACCTCGGAAAAAATATCATAGCAAAAGAACCTTCACATTCATTTATCAGGTATACTGAAACCACAGAACATTTCCCAAATGAGATAGCCCTGAAAAGAACCTTATGTTTGCTTACTGATCGTACAACACCTGGGCAGAAAATTGTACACAGCTGAACCACATATGAAGTTTATGGCAGGAATATACAAAGAAGATATACGCTGTATAATATATATAAATATAATTCATAATATATCATATATATGTACATATTTGCTGCTCTCACAGGCTTTGTAATTATCTGTTAGGTAGGGAGGCAGGGCCCCAGATGTCTTTAAAGTTAAAGCAAAATTACGATGACTTTATTTTCGATACTTTGGCATTCTGGCCAGCATAGAGTGTCAGCAAACAGAGAAAGTAGCTTTAGAGCACACTTGAAGAGTTAAGACTTGAAGACAGAGCGGGATTAAGGCGTTTTGTTAGAGCATTATTTTCATTATAGATTGTCAGCGAAAAGCAGTTCTTGGTTGAGTAACATTTCTTGTAGGGAAAGTTAATTCCTTCAACTGTACATTAAGATTAGCTTCAGTAGTATCGCCAAAGGCAAAACAAAAGAGTTTGAGCCGAAAAATTATTTTAAACTGTATTAGGGAAGATAGTAAATCAAATTGTAAAAAAACCCAACCAATTTTAAGTGGTCAACAGAAGAGACAGATAGCAACAGGGGAAACAACTATAACTTTCCCCTGAAACTTCAGGATTACCCACCTTCAGAAAAAAAATAACCTCAACCTTCCTAGAGTATGTCAGTGTGCAAACCAAAAACACGATCTGGTTGCATATTTAACTATCAAAAGGCAGTCAACATTTTCCTATGAAACTCTGTTTGCGGGTAGATTAAGGCTGGAACTAGAGCGAAATTTTCTTCTCATTATTTAAACCCCCCCCCCCCAAAAAAAAACCATCCAATGCCTCCCTGAAAATTAATCGTACTTGATCAGAGAATCAAGAGGGAATTTTGTACACAATTTTGTTACATGTTTGAACTACTGAAGTGTTCTCCATTTAGTTATGCTATACACAATTATAAATAGAAGGCTTGAACAACCATTCAAAGCATTTAACACTTTAGTTCATTAGATGAAAGCCTTTCGTATTTCTGTATTAGTTTTTAAGCTACATTACACTTTGTCACTCAGAAGACCTTAGAAGACCTTGCTGAACAAGAAACTATAATCAAACAAAAATTCCTATCACCATGAAAGGATTTTAAATATCTGTTAACTTTCTCCGTTCTTTATTCTCTGCATTGCAAGTTCCCTTCACATAAAATCTGTGTAACACGAAGAAACTTTGTTTCCTCGTCCACTAAAGTTTGTGTTATCTGGGTCTTACCATATTTTTATTTCCACAAGTTGTGCGTTTAAATCCTGAGTGGGGGAAATGTTTCCCAAAGGGTAATCTACAGAACTTGTGATTTCAAAATGCTAGGCCCAGACTCAAAAGTCAACATCATCCTCTTATCAAAGATCAACGCTAAGTTTTACTGAAGTGCTCACAACTACAGGTCATCATGGATTCTGGGATGAATGAGAACCATCACTCTGGAGCCATTCAAGAGACTGATCGCAATTCAAAATTTTTATATGGATTTACGTTCAACTCCGGACAATTTTCTGAAGAACCTGTGTGCAACCTTGTGCTTGTGTCTGTTCATTTCTGATGTAATTTTTAGCCCCTGACTTCTCACTACCTCTAGTACATTGCTATGGAGTAGGGTCAAAGGTAAGTACACACTGTATCATGCATTGTGGATGAGTGTCTGCGAGCGTGTGTGTTGTGTGTGTGTGTGTGTGTGTGTGTGTGTGTGAATGGGTATGTGTTGGATGGGCTGGAGAGTTATGCATGCTTAAGATAAATTTACTTACCCAGGTTGCCGCCTCTCTATATGTTCTTTGTTCTTCAAAAACCTCATTACCATAACTTCAAACAGAACTAGTGACAACATGCTTTTGGTGACTTAGGTACACGCTGGTCACTCTAGGTCTAGGAGGATTACAAATAATCTACAACTACGAGGGATCTTGTGTCCCCCCAAAAATGTAATAAAAAAAATCTAGTCATACTAAAGTGTCCCAGGGCAATAAATTGTTAGAAGTAAAATCATACATAAAAACTTCTCCAATGACATGATTTCTAGATTTAACTGAATTCATAACAGGAATAAGTTCAAACCATACTCCTTGTTAGCGATGTAAGCTGCACTCTTTTTCCAATGTTCTACATGGAATCTATAAATATTAAGTTCATTATTAGACCACTGTATCTTAATTAAATGGCATCACTGCTTTTACTATTTAAAAGGCCCAGGGGGGTGGGCAAACGACTAATGTTAGGATAACCACAATTATTTTGAACAGTTACCCGAGGGCAAGGCTTGACGAATTCAAAACAGGTACATGTATAAACATTGTGCACAGTGATTTGCCAAGCTCTTTTAACTCTGACAAGCTCATAACATACGTGGCTATGTATGTGAAGCTCAAAATTAGGGGGGGTGAGGGATTTGGAAATACAAGTGAAGGAGCATTAATATATTCTGACACATTAGAGCAAAAACACTTCAACTGTCCCATTAGAAAAGTCGCCACTTTACAGCCTGTCAAAGCTGGACAAAACGACTTTTCCTGATCAGTGGTCAAATTTAAGTATACTATACCGTTGATCTAAAAAAGAACTAAAATCTTGGTCTGAAGTCAACATTTTCAAATAAAAATGGCTACATAGTTTCCTCAACTGACAGATTACAGCAAGTTCTGCACTTCCCATTAAGAGACAGACAATTTGGTTAACAGAAAAACGTAATAATAAATTCACATATTTGTGAGAGTGAGCAAACCACGACCATGCAGGCAAGACCGATAACGAGGGAGGGGGGTACAAGGAGGGAGCAGGAGGTGAAGGGGGGTGCTCAATCCGAGCAGGAAATGGATGGGGCGCAGGCAGTGGGCGGACGAGCCAGCCCGAGCGTGCCATAGGTCACCTAGATTGGGGGCGGAGCTACTGCGCTTGCCAGATCTAACGCGGAGCAAGGTTTTCCCCAGCCCGTGGAAGCCCCGCGGCCGTTTGGCCTCCCTCACATCTTCCTTACTGCGGTGTTTGGGCAACGTACCGTAGCCAGGACGCCCGGGGCCAGCCCCCGCGTCACCTTTCTTTCTGAATGACGGCGTCTGAGGAGAGAGGGAAAATTTCTGAGTTAGGTATTATTGTTTTGTTTTAGTAAGCATTGTTTTACGGCACTTGCAGCATAATAGCTTTGTATAACTGCCAAAGCTTCGAGGTGTTACAACAGAGTAACAAACACAAAAAAGAAAGAGAGATAAGGACGATACACGTTTTATTTTATTTTTGTTTTAGCAAGCGTTTTACAGCACTTGCAACAAATTACTTTACAAAAGTGCTGAAAATTAGAGGCGTTTCTAGAGTGTAACAAACACAAGATATGGACAATAGATGTTTGATAGAAAAGAAGGCGCAAACAACACCAGAGCACCTGACAACGGGAGAGTAACAAGCACAAAAAAAGAAGAGATAAGGGCAATAGATGTTTGCTAGGAAAGAAGGAGTAATCCACACCGGAGCACTTGACAATAACCTACACTTTTGAGGAAAGAGAAGCACGTCACACAACCTTCATGCAGTGCAGGGAAGTCGCAAGACAGTTAGACAGAAAAAAACAGAGGGAAAGAAAAGAAGTAGAATGTACCAGTGATGCCTTCTGACCATCCGCAGAGACAGGCAAAGAAAACTGAATTGCGATGTCTCAGTTTAAGTAATGGTTTTACGGCGCTTGCCACACAATAGGTCATATAAGTGCCGAAGACTAGAGGCATTACTAGAGAGTAACATACAAAGAATACAAAGAAAAGATAGAGGTGAGATAAGGACAATAGATGTCTGATAGGAAAGAAGGAGCTGAGCAAACCACACCAAAAAACCTACCAAACACCCCCATTGTCATGTGTATAATTTACAGATTTTCTCAAAGACAATGAGACTTGTAGACAGAAACAGACACTGATCAGAACAATTCCTCTTTGAGGGATAGCCTCCAGGGTGTGAGTGGAATGTCAGCTGCAACAGTCTTTGGCCCTCACTGACAAATATTTACAGATACATCTACCAGACGACATCTACTCTTGTCAGTCGTTGGACACAAACTGGTACAACGTTTATCGAATTGGATGAGCTTCCCACATTGGCCAGGTTTTCCACAAAACCGAAGGCTAAACTCAATATTACCACATAAGTAAGTAGTATCAATGCAAAAACACAGTACACACATCATGAACGATTCTCCATTTTTTGCTTCAGATGGATTGCTTTTCTTGTATTTTTTAAAACAACCTTTTCTTTCTGAATGAAGGTAAGAGTCTGGGGAGAAAAAGACGGCCAATACGAAGACGAGGACTCACTTTAGCCTTTGAGCCGGGGACGAGGTTCTCACAGCTGTTTGAGCGGGTGAGGCCCAGGGCCTGGCGGGAGCCCATGGGGATAGCTGCCATGGCGGGGGAGGGGCTCCCGTTGAAGCTGGTGTTGAGGCGGCTCGACTCACTGCTGCTGCTCTGGTGCACTGAGACAACGACAGGGGGAGTGTGAACACGGGACATGGAAATAACATGGGACAGGGAAATAACACGGGACAGATGGGACAGAAAAATGTGAACACAGGAGACGTAAATAACATGGGGACATATAACAAGTTTGTGCGTTGGAATCCATGGTCCTGATATTTTATCCTGTGTCATACCAATGTCTGTTCCTGAAGGTTTGTTGGTGTGAGTAATGAGAAACACATCAACACAATAATGGTCATTTATTACCGCGGAAAAAGGAAGACAGACAGAAAGACATAAACAAAAGAAGGAAAAGTAAAGAAGTAGGACCTGCCAGTGGCGCCCCCCAACAACACGCCTTACAACAGGGAAAATATTAGAATACAGACAGAAATATGTCCACAAGACAGGGATTTGTTGATGGTTTAGTAAGTTTTATGGCACTAACAACATCAATAGGTCATATAAGTGCCAAAGACTGGAAGTTTTTCAAGAGAATAACAAACACAATAAATAAGGGGAGATAACGATGACAGAAGTTCGATAGGAAAGAAGGAGCAAACCACATCAGAGCACCTGTTAAACCATGCACAGCCATTTCTCTGACAGACTACCTCTCAGCCCCGGTCACTGAAAATTGAGCATTTTCTGTAAAAAGTGTCTCTTTACCATGAAAATGCCCCTAAATCAACAATTCTTTAAGTTGCAAAGTAGAACAGAATGCAATATAACCTATACCTGGTGTGCTGGTGGCACTGGGAGAAGAGATGTAGTGTCTTCCATCCAACCGGTCTTCTGGGTGGAGCTGAGGAGGAGAACGAAAAAGGTGTGGAGATAATTGGAATAAAAAGGGTTGGTAAAGAGAAACACATCAACCCAAAAATAGTCATTTAGTGCTTGGAAAAAACATGACAGACTAGACAGAAACAACATAAGGAAAGTAAAAAAGTGGGACCTACTAGTAGAGAGCCCTCCAAACACCGACCTAAGGATTGATTTGGAGACTTTCTTTCCCATTACTAAAATATAGCAAATACAGAAATAGAAATGTGTGCATTCACATCATTTATTGGAAGACGCTTATGACCCGATAGAAACCCAAATTTAAATTTTAAAAATCAGATTTGTTGATAATTCTATTGGAGTTTTTCAACGAGGGAAATAAACCGGAGAGCTCCGGTTTAATGGGAGTACTTAACAGTTCTACCATAAGCAACAAAACCACAGAGGCATACCTGCTGTTGATCTCGGAGCGCAGGGTCGCCCGTGGAGGGCGTAGTGGAGGAACTGTTTGAGCTGGTGTCTCCGTCTTCTACGTTCATCAACAGCTCTTCCACCGCTGGGAACACAAATAGAGGCAACTATGACGAACACTTTTCCTGACTAAAATACAAAATCATAAGCTTCTCATCGGTGCCGTAAGCAAGCCACTGAAGTCTGTTTGGGTACTCTTTACACCAGAGACAAAAAAGTAACTTTTGTCGTGTTGTTGAAATCAGGAACAATGAAAAGCAAGAAATTTGTAAGCCTTGACCATAGCATTCAACTGCATTTTCGCAATGTTGAAAGGTCCATCTTTGATCGAGCTTTGGGAGGGAGTGAAAATAAAATTTCTAAAATTTTTGACTTAAGCGGATTGCTTGCTATAGCAACGATCTACAGTTTGCTTATCGATAAAAGTTTTGTATTGTAGTAGCTGATGATCTTACCAAATAAAGAAACTGCTTTAAAAAAAAGCCTTTGGATTTTTTTCAATGTTCTCAATTTTGAGGAAACCGTTACACGATATACATCTCAGTTGCCAATGAATGATGATTTCATCCCAGGGTTCAGCTCCACTGACCTTTCCTGCCTTGTGCCTGGACCAGAATTTCCTCCACCCTACGGTACCGCTTCAACAACCGGCGCATGTCCTCCAGCTTGCGCTCCTGGAGATGGATGACAAGTAACATTTGAACAAAATAGCACATCGTCCCTGTCGCGATCAGATCAGATCAGATACGTAACAACTGGTAAATTTTTCAGGAGAAGGAAAAACCTGATTTATTGAAAATGGGCTTTGAGTTCACCGATTTTTATACTGTGGAAAAAGTCCACTTTTGGCCGTATATTTCAATATAAATTTTTAACCAGCAGATAAAACGTGCTTTGTAGAAAAAGTTTACTAAATTAAAAAAAAACAAAATCGAAAATTTTGCAGCTCTCCAATCTGTCACGATGGCGATAATGTTACAGGCTTGCCAATTTTTTTAAAAACCCAGTAAGTAATCAGAGACACCTAACCATATAACAACAGATTATATAACAACAAATAAAATTACATCAGTTAGGACTGGTCTCAGTGTCATGTAGTGTATGTGACAAGGCTCTCAAATTTTCTATTGCCAAATAATAAACAGTCCTGGGAAATTCGGGACAGCTGACGAGACTGATATTAACTCTAAGTATATCATATATGGCATGCCGGTTCAGCTGGCACTCAGTACTGCTCTGTTGTTTACAGTCAAAACATTATATCACAACAAATCCATCTTATCTACGAACAAACTATATATATTGCATGGAATGCTCTCATTGCTATTCAATTTCCTGTTTAAAAAAAAAAAAAATTGGTTAAGCAGAAGAGGAGTTATACGAGTTTGTGGTGTTCAAAAACTGGTAATAGTACTCGCTTAAAGCCCCTATCAACACTGGAAGATTATTTAAAAGGTGGAACCTCTGAACTGAACATCCATCTCAGATAGGATTCAGCTGCTCAGGTGAAAACTCCCTAAACAACTTCAGCTCATGAACAACCCC